TGTTCTGCCTCATCCCAGCTCTAAACAGACTCTGTGACACACAAAAGTCAAATTATAATAAACCGCACACGCGAACACGGCCGCGCAAGTACGGGCAGGAGTCGCCACCACCGCCGCGCCCTTCAGACTCCAAACCAAGCAAACTTCAACTAAACCTGCAACCAAGCCAAAACCAAACTAACCCAATTTAAGCTATGCGGCGGATAGGCTGTTCCTCGGTCGCCTAGCCATGAAATATGAGCCATATCACGCGCTTCAGATGCTATGTATCCGCGCGTCTCCCCGGCGCAAAAGAAAAAAAAGAAGCACAAATACAAAAAAATTACAGAACCTCTAACAGATAGAACGGCAGACATATGGCATAGCCAATCATGACTGTAGAGCGACGATAATATGATGCGCTAAATCTCCTTATCCCACATCTTGAATGTGAATATTCTTTATGCTGGAGTAATAAATACAAAAATAAAAGTACAAATTTATCCAGCACAGTGAGAGCGCTTATGCTATTATTTCCCAATCCCCACTCAGGGAAAAGTTCAGAAAAAAATATTCATAACCTTTTGAGTCGTCCGTGGTCCAAACCAATACGAACGAATACAAACAAAAACAACAACGAAACACACAAATCAAACAAACAAATCAAACAAAAAATTTCTACCAAAATACAAAACGACGCAATCGAGCCCGGTACTCTCCCCCACCCAGTTACCTCTCACCCACGTAAAACACACTCATCTCAGCTCGATCGGGTCATGCGTAGAACACTCAGCCGTGAGATAACGTACCCATGGGCTAGCTAGCTATCGCAATCTCTCTCTAGTGCGGATTCCGCTATCTTGCTATGAGGCATTGCTCTCTCCGAGTCACACTAGCAAGACGCTTGTGAAATCTGAACAATTTCAAATTCCTGTTTTCAGACCCATGTAAGCCTCTTTACGTTTGCCTTTCCGGGCGCTGGCTTCCGGGAAAGATACCTCACACACACACGCATGGTGTATGTATGCACACAAAAACACACACACACATATGTACACATTCAAATATATATGTACATACATACATACATATTTATATACCTATATAAGTATGTATATATGACATATATATATATATATATATATAGATATATATATATATTATATATAATATATAATATTATATATATATGATATTATATATACATATATATATATATGTATATATATATCACACCACAACATCACACAACACACACACACACACACACACATACACACACTCACACACACACATAATAATATATATATATATACATACATATACATATGATATACCACACACACACACACACACACACACACACATATATAATATAATTATATAATATATATATATATATATAGATAGTATATAATATATATATGTATGTGTGTGTGTGTGTGTGTGTGTGTGTGTGTGTGTGTGTGTGTGTGTGTGTGTGTGTGTGTGTGTGTGCTTATATGTATGGGTTCTATGTGCATATGTATGTTGTATGTATGTATGTGTATATATACATATGCATATGATATTATATGTATATATAATATATATATATATATATAGTATTATTATATATATATATATGTATATATATATATATATTATATATATATTATATATATATTATATATATGTGTGTGTGTGTGTGGGTCGCGCGTGTGTGTGTGTGTGGTGTGTGAGTCGTGTGGGTGTTTGTGCTGTGTGTGTATGTGTGTGTGTGTGTGTGTGTATGTTGTGTGGTTGTGTGTGTGTGTGTGTGTGTGTGTGTGTGGTGTGTTGTGTGTGTGTGTGTGTGTGTGTGTGTGTGTTGTGTGTGTTGTTGTGTGTGTGTGTGTGTGTGTGTGTGTATATATATAATATATATATATATATATATATATATATATATATATATATATATATATATGTATATATATTGTGTGTATACAATATATATATATATATATATATATATATTATATATATAAAATACTATATATATATATATATATATATATATATATATATATATATATATGTAGTATGTATGTATGTATGTATATATATATGCATCTCTATATATATTTATATATATATGTATATACATACAAATGTATGTACACACACACAAACATGTGTGTGAGCGAGTGCTCACATGTATATACACACACATAGTGATCTGCCTGTGACTCCGCGTGCAAACGGATCACCGAGAGCAGCGTCGTTGCGTCGGATTTGCGGGCGAAGCAGGTGTGCGTCTCGGGCCGCGAGCGCCTCCTGCGGCGTCCCTCTGCGCGGGCGAAGAACACCGTTCGTGTTCTTCGCCGACAGACGGCCGCGCGGAATTTCGACTTCGTATAAAAAAGAAATTTCCGGAACGGACAGTTAAGCTTGCGCGGTTTCCTTTTCAGCTGGATCTCCTGCGGAGTGGGAGACGAAAGAGAAAATCGAACGAGAAACGATAGCAACCAATATCTCACGCCGTTTCTGCGATTCGAGACTCAGGCGCGATTCTCACGAGACCGCTAACTCGCGCCAAACGACGTAGAAAATCCGTGACGCCCAACGCGGCGTGTCCAACTGGCCAAAGAGCGCCAGGCTTGATGTTCATCTCATCTGTGCAGTTTGATTATCGACACGCTCTTTTTTATTATTATTATCGACGGGATACTCACCTTTGTGCCCAGAGACCCTCGGACGCATAGCCAGCTACAGAAAGGCAGAGGCAAGATGAGAGCGGGTTTGGCTGCTGCCATCTGCGCAAATGCCCTCGCGGGCGCCGCTGCAAAGGGGCGCAGAGGCTGGATCGGGGAGGGAAGGCAGATATGGGGGGGGGGGCGGAGATGGCGGAAAGCAAACCGAAGAAGAGGAGAGGGCGGGGCGGGCCCGGGCGGGGGCGGGCTGCCACGGCAGAATGCTCGCCTCCGCCAGGGCTTCCCTCGCCACTACGCCGCTGGACGGGGAGCCGAAGAGCCGCTTCCTGGCAACCTCGAAGCCGCACCGACTCGGCGCTTTTTCCTCGCGCAGCCGCCGGCCCAGCCGTCTGCCAGTGGGAAACAGACCTCAGGATACTTGTGCTAACTGGACACATACTGTGCGGAAAGACAACATATCGCTGAAGATGCTGAAGTTCATGAAATGGTGAGCCATTTTGCTTTTAAGTTGAATATTTTATCTTAAGCGCAGAAAACATCTATGACACACACAACACACACACACACACACACACACACACACACACAGCACACACACACAACACACACACACACGATCATATATATATATATATCCTCATATTTATACCCTTCTTATTAAATAACTTATATGTCCTAATATATATATTGAGTTATTATACATATACCACACTATATATCCATATGACCTCCGCATTGTACTCATCTATTTTCATATATAACATATCAATTGTATAGGCTGAGGAAGACCTCACCTATATATATATATATAGACCTTCAGATGGGACGTAGTGTAGTGTTGTGTGTGTTGTTGGTGAGTGTGGGGTTGGGTGTGTTGGTGAGGTGGTGGTGGGTGTGTGTGTGGAGAGAAGTGGATTAGTGTGGGATGAGGTGGTGAGAGGAATAAGTAGTTATGTGTATGGTGTGTGTGTGGTGTGTGTGTGTGTGTGTGTGTGGTGATGGGATGGTGTGTGTGGGGTAGGGTAGATGGTATGCATGTATAGGAGGGATAGGAGAACTGAGGGGAGGGGCGGAGGAGGGGAGTATGTTTTAGTAGAAGCAATTGTAGTAGGAGGGTGTATAATGAGTACTGGTTATATATAAAGTATCTATTATACGGTGAATCTAGGTGTAAGAGATGCACGGTATATATCTACTATACATAGATACGATCATACACTATATATATATTATACCGGTATATAGATGGGTATATATAGCCACTACATACATACATAACAGGAGGAGACATACATAGAAACATAAGCATGACTACATACATACACACACACACACACAAAACCGGAGCAACACACTGACAGACAGCGACGACACACGCAGCACACACACGAGGGGAGGTGGAGAGAATTGAGGCAGGGGAGAAAGGAAATGATACACACACACACACACACACCAACAAAACACACACACACATATAATATTATATTACTATATAGTATATAATAATATAAGGGGGGAAAATGGGTATATATATATAGTATAAAGTAGATAGGTAGAGTAGTATATAAATTGACATGTATATATATGATATATAATATAGTAAGTAGTAATGGTATATATATGACACACAACACGCAGGAGACGCACGAAAGCGAAAGTCACAGAACACACACACACACCTAGTGAGTAATAGTGGGTTATGTGAAATAGTAATAGTGAAGAGAATTATATAGGTATATATATAAGGGGTATATATATATATAATGATAAGTATATAGAAAGAAGAGAGAGGAGGTAGAGGGAATGGAAGAGAGGAGGAGAGAGAGAGTAGAAGGGAAGAGAGATAGATAGATTGATGAAGAGATAGATAGATAGATAGATAGATAAGAGGGAAGAGGAAGATAAGTATAGGATAATGAGGAAGAATATAAACAAAATACACTCGAGCGCTACACACAGCAACACACACAACACATGCATCAGCAAGAGCCACACGGCAACGACAAATATATAGATAATGGATAGTATACAATAATGGATGTTAGAGCAGCAGCACGACAAAAGAAACACACGCAAACAGGCGACAGCTACAGACACACGACAAACGAGCACACGCACACAGCACACAACACACAACCACAAACAAACACACACACAATGAAAGAGTTATAAAAAGAAAGAGAAGGAGATAGGAATAAGATAGATAGATAGAAGAATAGGATAGGAATGAGATACACAGATACAAGGAGGAGCACAACAAACACGAACACGAAGCACAACACACGCACACAACGGCACACGAGGAGAAAACAAAAGAGAAGAACACAGCAAACACACACACACAAACACACACGAGGACAGACCAAACACGAAATATATATATGAAGTATAATATAAATATAAGGTAAGATAGGGTATAGATGGTATATAATAATATACATACATACATATATATAAAATAAGAGAATAGTATAATAGTATATATATATATAGTATAGTAATAGTATATCATAATCATAAGCGCAGCGCAAATATATAATATATATAGGTGAGAAAGTAAAAGGAAAACCAAGATGAATAAATGCAAAGAGTAAATAATTAGGAATAGATATGTATGTATATGGTTTTATCTATAGTAGAAAAGTTAAAAATAGAAAAGTAAGTTGGGAGAAAATAGAAGGTGAAAAGTGACTCAGTTAATAGAAAAAGACTCAATGGAGTATAATAATGATATTAGACATAATATTGTATTGGTGTGTTTGTGGTATAATGATATAATGAAAGGAATATAAAAGAATAATAAGGTAAGAAAGAGGGAGATAATGAATATAATATAGATAATTAAGTAAAAAAGTAAGGACAGGAAAAGAGGGAAAGGTACTAACATGAAAGTAAAACAAAGATGTATAGGAAGATAAGTAATATATATAGTAATATAAGAAGTAGAAATTGATATAATAATATAATAAGTTATATAAAAAGAAGACATAACACAGCACACACACACACACACACACGCGCCAGAGGATAAGGCAACACAGCACACACACACACACACAAAAGCAACACACACACACACACAATATGTGAAGGGTGATAGTATAGTACAATATAGTATATATAGTAGAATGATACGTACACACACACATCACAAGAACAGCACTCACACAGACAGGCACACAAGACACACACAACAGCAACACACAGACACACACCACACAAACACAACGACAACAGACAGGACACACACACACACGACGGGCAAGCGGGGAAAGAGTAGATGGGATAATGAAGAAGTAATGAAGTATATATATAGTATTAGTATAGGGGATAAGTACTAAGATAGGGATATATAAGGAAAGAATAGTTATAGCAAGCGCAGCACACACAGCACACATGATATACAGACTACAAGTATATATATATAGACATGTATAATATATATAAATGAATGATACATATAAGGATAATAATAAGTAAGGGGATAGATAATAATAGAAAGTTATATATATAATATAGTATATGTAATATATTGAGAAGTCCGCAGGGCAGGGAAGAGCAGGTATCGAAGCAGGCTGCGGGTGGAGTAAGCCTAAGCATAATAGTATACATGTCAGTGTTAATGCAGAGTGTGGGCATAAGGATATTGGATTGATGGGACTAAAGTCCAATCGAGCTGTGGATTGGTGAGAGATGGAGGGCAGAATTCATGAATGGAGGAGAGGGAGGGAAGGCCAAGTAGTGTTGGCTTGTGAGGGATTCATTACAGCTGCTTCAAACGGAATCAACAAGATCGAAAGGGAAAAATACGAGGGCGTAGCAATGAGAAGCTCCACATGCTGTCACTGATATTGTCATGTCAAGTAAGAATTCACTCAAATAGGTCAGAAGGTTGTACAACCGAATCTCGCATTGACGCGGCCCAACCAGCTCTAGTGGCCTATTGCTAGGGTGCGAAGGGATGAGAATATCATTGCCCGTCAACTGCTGATTCGTCTACTCGTGCTAATTGATAGTTATTTCTCAATCTGTTTAACTTTTCAGTTAATGGGTTTCCATAATCAATGGCAATATTTACCGAGAGAAAAAAGTACTGTTGCCAGAGCCTCGCCTCCCTCCCTCCCATTCCTGAATACCGCACAGCGTTTGGCGGGCACATCGGCTGCAGACAAAGTTCTATGAGGCAATAAACAAGACACGGCAAAAACCATTCTCGAGGACTTCGCCAGACTGTACCTATGTTGCGTTTGCAATTGTGTCTATGGTGTGCACATACCCTTTTTGTGTGCGGATGTTTCCGTTGGGATTTTGAGAAAGCGCCTATGAGCGAAATGCTTTTTCCGCCCGCAGCAGGTTGATGGGCGTGCTGGTGATCCTAGCGGCATCTCGGGCGGTTTTCGGCCTTAGCATGGAGAGGAATGCGCGCCCGCACGCCGCGCCACCCGTCAGCTGCACCGATGCTCGACCCGTTTCGGTAAGTGGCCCCGCCACAGCAGACCGCCCCCCCCCTAGGGCCAGGCGCATGGTTTGTCTGTGTGTGCGCGAATGCATGAGCGTATCTTCGTGTACGCGCATGCATATGTATAAGAGCATTTATGTGTATATACACACATGTCGTCACTCATGCACTGTACACAGAAATTGATAATAGTAATGGTGATGATAGTGATAAAGCTAGTGTTAATAACGGAAATGATAATAGGAAAGATAATGACGCTTATATTACTAATGATGATGACGATAGTAATAATAACACCAAAGTGGCAGTGATAGTCTCACTGACGACCAAAACTTTGATGATAAAAACAAAGCAGTATTGCTGATCAAACCCCGCCCACCTCCTCCG